CTGGGCTGCCAAAGACCTTGGCCGAGTAGCCAGGGCTGCTGCAGGTGTGCCTCCGAAAAGCCCCCTCTCCCCTCTCCCCGCTTCCCAGCTGAAGATCGCGGCAGGAGGTGCACTGTTTGCTGACACTGATTCTGCAATTTCCCAAACAAATGGCCCCCCTGTGGGCCTGCCAGGCTCCCAGCCTGATCTGTCCCCCTTTCTCCCCACAAAGCCAGCTGGAGTGCTGGAAGGTGACAGCATTTTAGAGAAGTTTCAAAGGGCTTCCTCGTGCTGTGCAAATCCAGATGTTCCAGATGATGGTAAACAAGCCAATGAGGCAGCTGAGGATTGCACCCCACATTTTATCAGCCCCTCACCCATCCCCTGCCTTGGCCACCCGGCTGTTAGGCCAGATGTGCCACCAGAAGGGAGCTGGCTTTACCACTGTGAGGCTGCCCGGGCATGGATGTAGGTATCGAAACACAGAAGTTTGCTTGGCATTAAATGGCCTGCACTGGTTACTGCGAGTTCACGCTTTCTTTTTCCTTCTGTAAAGCTTGCGAAACATCACAGTGGAGACAACGCGAGCCCTCCTGTTATTCCCACCTCACGAGGTTTCAAGCCCTGTACCAGCCAGCCACCTCAGTCACCGGCCAGGAGTCCCTATCTTTTCAACCACCTGCTTCCCGCCGCCCGCTCCCCGCACGCCCCCCCCTCCCCGAGAATGCCCGATTAAGAATGATTTTTGACAAAGACCTCACCAAAGGAAACTGGAGCAGGCTTTGTTCCTGAATCCTAAAATCCATCATAACCGCATCTTGCCTGGCTCTGATGCCTAGATGATATCGATGTGCCAAAGTGGCCCACCTGATATTTATACTCACAGATTTGGAGAGAAGACTGAGTTAGGGGCCTGGAATTTTTCTTTTCTCATAAGCGAAGCTAAAAGTAATAACAGCTATCAGGAATTAAGCAATTCTACATACAGGACAATCTTCACTGTCCTGTACAGCCCATTGCATTCCAACCTATTATTATCTTTAATCCCAACAACAAAGGCAGACTTTTTCTGTCATTTTACAGAAGAGTAAATTTTACAGAGGTGGAAAATGGCAAAAATCAGATTTTTGGCCTAGATCTGTTGGACCCCAAAGCTCACATGTGTCTCTTCTACTCTGCCATGCTGCTTCTCAAGGGTGAGAAAACCTGGGTTCACTGGAATTCCTAGAGAAATAAAGTCAATGTGTCAACAAAGCAAAGCAGCCCTGTAGATTTGTTGTTTGTCTGTCTGATTGTTTTAAGGAGTTCCTAGAGAATATTCTGAACTCTATTATGGATCTGTAGCTTCATTCTAACATTCACATTCACATTCTCATTCTCTCTCTCTCTCTCTCTCTCTCTCTCTCTCTCTCTTTCTCTCTCTCTCCTCTTTTATACACACACACGCAAATTATGAGTGCATATATTTATAGGACAAAACCCTGCAAATTGTCCAGAGTAGTGACCTTGAAGGCAAGACAAGATCCTCAATCACTGAAAAAGATGCAATTATCTTTACCGTAACTTACTTGGGCTGCAGTTCAGAGTAAAACATTTTTGAAACCTCTCCAGAAAAAATAAAAAGCTGAAACCAAAAACAGAGTCTTCTCCTTAACCCTTGTTGAACCAGAGCAACCAACCATTCTCCCAAAAGTCTAATCAATCAAGTTTCCCTTGGTACAAACTTGTTTTTGCCTAAATGTTCCTCGTGCTCTTGTATTCACATTCTGGGCTCCTCAAAAAATCTAAACCTAAGTACAAAGAACCTGTAGGCTCCAAACTGTGCCTTCTTCCTAGAAGTATCTGCAGCCAGAGCCCAGTCATCAGGACAGAGATGCTGCCTGCAGGAGGAGCTCGTATTTTCTCTCTGCAGATGCTGGCCATTCTCTTCCCCTGGAGTGTGGACAACCCATCTATTTGTTCCACCAAATGTGTCATTTGTCCTCCACTGGAGCAACCCATCTATTTGTTTGTAAAAGAGAACTGTTTGCTCAGGATTGAGCCCCAAGGTCACACATTAACCTCTCTTTGCATAGGTTACATTAGCAGTCCCAGAGCCTTTATAAACCACAGGTATAAAAGGAAAATTCCATGCGCTGTGGTGACAACCCTCCCCCAACAAGAAGGTCTAATAAATGAGCTCAAGTTTCAGTGACCCCTAAAATACACAAGGTTAATCATCTTTCATGAGATGCTCATGGCTCTTGACTTATTACTGGTCTAAGGCATAATTTGCTAATGAGATTAAAATGATTTTCCCCATTCGACTCCTTTTCTTCACCGTCTTTCTCTTCTTTTTCTACCAATGATTTTTGGTTGATTAATTACTTAGGCGTCTAGTCAAGTGTCACCAAGCCCGAGACACACACCCCTCAGTTCCAGATTACGAGGTGGATGCTCTGAGAGCAGATGAGTATGAGCGATGGACACGTGAGCATGTTCGGGGCCCTGGGGAGGAGATGAACAACTTCCTGCATCTGAGCCTGCCTCAACTTACCCGGGCGATTCATAAAACACGCAACCCTAATTCTCTTTTACTACATGACAGTTTTATTCCTTTCACAAATAATGATTTCCTGAATTTTTCATGGGCTCTGACATGGACGCCTAAGCCATGTGGGACTTCTCCCAAGGGGAGAAGTTTGATGGAATTAAATTTATGTTTCAGCTCCTGGCCCCTCATCTCGGAAAGCCCCTAAGGCACACTGTTCTGTACTAGAGAGAGAAAGAGATCAGGTCATCGGTAATGGTCTCCGCTCATCTGTGCTCCAGCGGAGGACAAATGACACATTTGGTGGGAAACCATGGAGGATGGCACGTGGACAGAAGGGTGGCAGGGTCACTGGGCAACTCAAAGCTCATTACAGCATAACGCTCTGGCCGAGGAGGTCGCGTGTTCAGCAAGAGGTTGCTGGACAGTCGACCTCTCGCCTTCCAAGGCCACAGTCCGCTCACCGGAGCGCACGCAGACATGTCGCGAAGCAAAGGCATTTTGGGGTCACTTTCAGGATGAGTGTGGAGATGGGAAAGGAGCAGAAGAGTGTGGGCTTGCCATTATTTTTTTTTTTAGCATCGAAAATTGTTTCCAAACTTTCGAAGTTTTATATTAAACCTCAATCGGTGGGCTTGATGAGAATAAGGGTGCCCTGGTTTAAGCTGGGGGTGTCCAGACTAGAGTCCTGCCTCCCGAGTCTGCTCCGATCCCCACGGCTATCTCCCACTGATGGCCCCCGGGGCGTCTGCCACGTTATCCTCGGAGCCCGTGAGCATGTCACCTCACACGTGACCAAAGGGGCTTTGCCGATCGAGTTGAGGATCTTGAGATGGGAAGGGTATCCTGGATTACACAGGTGAGTCTGACGTACTCATAAGAGTCCTTAAAAGTGCAAAGGGGAAGCAAAGGAAAAGAAAGAACGGACAGAAAAATGCAATGTAGCCAGCTACAGAGAGGAAAGACGGGACTACGAGTCGCACGAGGGTGGGCGGCCTCTAGAAGCTGCAAGGCCGTGGGCTCTCTCTCGGTCTCCAGAAAGGAACGCAGCCCTGCCACACCTTGATTTTAGCCCCGCGAGACCCATATCGGGTTCTCACCTACAGACCTGTGAGATAATCAATGAGTGCCGTTTTAAGCCACAAATCCTGCAGTAGCGTGTCACGGTGGCAACGGGACATTGACCCAGCAACTCTGCAGGACCCTGCGGGGCTCCACAGCACAGAGAACCATTGCTCCTGTGTCCTCCAGGTAGGGACAACGGCCCCCGCCTTGGCACAGTAAGGGCAATGGGCAGAAGTGGGACCCGGTCACCGGCGGTGGCTGACCTCTGCTCAGGCATCCCTCCCAAAGGCCCCTCAATCTCCGCTTTTGGTGAGCAGTCTGGTTTGGAACGGAGTGGCTGCGGCTTGTCCAGGTCTCTGCCTTTCACGGGTATTTGTTTCCTGCCCGCAGAGAATATATACACAATAGGGCAATTAACCGGGTAATAATTGGCCCTGCGGGAGCCCGAGCGTGACTGGGAAACATGCTATGCCTTCCTAGAAAGAACGGAGGTCGAGCGGCCCACGTGGACCAGGCCCGCGCATCTGCCTTGCGGTCGGCAGGAGAATGAGAGGTCCGCCCTGTCTCTTCCCACATCTCCGCCCCTTCCCCAGGTTTCCTAAGGGCCAGTGTGTTCTGAGTTCCTCACCTCTGTCTCCTTTCGTGAAAACATGCCTCTCCCAAGAGGCTTTTCAGTTCAGCACCCGGGCAACCGGATGTCAGGGTTTTTGTGAGAAGAGAAAGGCAGTTTAGTGCAGCCGATGCCTTTGCCCCTGGTCCATCTCCAGACGACACGGTGGGCTCTGCTACACACCGGGGCTTTGGGATAGTACTGATGCCCAGGGAGTCGGGTTGGTTCAAGGTAAAGTCCCTGATCTACCCCTCAGCAGGGCCACAAGAGTCACGACGTGGCCCATCAGTCCTCCCATGTCAGGGATCACGTGCTTCAGAGCCAATGAAAACACAGCCAACTGAATGACCTGCCAGTCAGCCTGGCCCCTTCCTCCCCACAAAAGCCACGTGCACCAGTGACTTCAGAGTATTATGTGAATACCAAGCACTGGTATAACTGGGTGACTTTCTGCAGTGGCTCCGATTCTTATTGCAAACGCGTGTTCATCGGAACTATTCCCGCTAGTTCTGTCTCAAAGAGCACAGTGTTAAAAGCTCGAAACTACATCGGCACAGCTACCTGCTAAGTAAGAGGGGCTAGGATCACCAGCAGAAGGCTTCTGACAGGCCAGTCCTCAGGAGAGGCTCAGGAGAGGGGCAGAGCAGTGGGAAGAGACGGGAGTATAGTATATCCATGTGCATGCGGGTGAATGTGTGAACACGCTCAAACTCTTATTGGGGGGAGGAGTGGTGAGAAGGATGTTCACACGTGTGCACAAACAGCATTTCAGCACTTAGGGACTCGAGAGAGAAATGTAAAATGGGAGGTTGAAATCTGGCTGAAGAAATGCAGGCTGAAGAGTAAAAAAATTAAAAAGGGTCTCAGCTGGGAGCTCCATCAGACAGTGAAATTGTCCCCTGAGGGAGCCAGATGGGAAGCTCGCTGCTTAAGACATCGGAAAGTGGACCAGCCAGAGGGAGGGAGGCAGCATCCCAGCTCCTGGCTGCCTTTGGAGGACTTGGCCTACACTGCACTCGTCTCTGTGCTTTCCTGACTGTCTTTTCTGTCAGCTTCCCCCTCCTCTGGAAGATACTCCGCCTACCGGCCCCTTCGCGCTCTTTCTTTCCCTTGTCTTTTCTTCATTTTTCTCTCCCTTCTCAGATGAATCAGGCTCCTGTCAACTGTAGCCTGATCGATGAAAGTCTGGGAGGCTCGAGGGCCGAGGGAGCGCCGCCCCGCATCCCAGGGACAGATGCATCTTTGATGCAGAGCAGCTCCCTGAACAGAGCAGGTGCTCAGAGGTGGGGAAGATGGGGCGGAGTCCTCACGGCTCACTTCTGCTCTGGGTCCCCAGGGAAGAGCACAGCTGTCAGACCTGGGAAGCAAGATGAGGCACCAGAGCTGGGAGCTCCTGGCCCTGCCCGCGAAACACTGCCGAACGCCGTGCCTCGATGCGCCGTCTCTCCCCTCCCGTATGCACACTTTACGCATGGCTTCCCTGCCTTCCTTTTCTGCCTCATTCCCTCTCCTGTCTGTGAGGATTGCATTACTCTGCCCTTAACAGGAAGAAGAGGATGGAAACAGACACTAGTGTTGATAGGCACGGAAATGACCAAAATATAGATACCAGCCGATGATGGCTTCATCTTCTCCTGCCTCCAGTTACCTAAGTGGTTCAGTCAGTCTTCATACCTGTGGCATGGCAGGTATCCTAGTTCGCTCTAGCCCAAGCAATCTTCCTAGTTCACAGCTCACACACTTGACGCCTAGCCAACGGCCATATAGCAGAAAACCACCTTTGGTGAAGTAGGAATTCACTGCCATGGTCTCGAAGGGGACATAGTTTTATTTTTTTCTCTACCATTTTTCATCACGATCTTAGGTGGGTTTCTCCTAAAATGTCCTATTATAGTTAATGTAATTTGACTCTGAACAAACGTAGGTTTTTTTTTTTTTTCCCCCTAGCATTTCCTATTAGAGTAAATACAGTCTATTTTCTGCAGTAGAGTCAATATCAATTCTATTAAGCAGTTAATTAATTCCTAAACTGTGTGGGGGTATCCCTCGCCAACTAGACCGCAAGACTGGAAAGAAGAAATCGAGCTCCACCATTCACGAAATTTCCCTTGGGTAGTTACAGGTCACCTAGTAGGTGCTCCATAAATACTTCTCGATTAATTGACTGGCGATTAGCTTCTCATCTCGTCAATATCAATTCTATTAAGCAGTTAATTAATTCTCAAACTGTGTGGGGGGATCCCTCGCCAACTAGACTGCAAGACTGGAAAGAAGAAATCGAGCTCCACGATTCACGACATTTCCCTTGGGTAGTTACAGGTCACCTAGTAGGTGCTCCATAAATACTTCTCGATTAATTGACTGGCGATTAGCTTCTCATCTCTGTCAAGAGCAAATTCGTAATTCGGACGAGACGGTGGTTACCGCGAGGGAGGACCGTTCTCGACTCTCTCTTTTGGTCACAGTGCACGTTCATCGCTATATCGGTATCCGTACCGGGTCTCACCCCGTCCAACTCCCCTACGCGGTCACGAGCTCGGCGGGACAGACGTACCACGCAGCCGCTGGAGTCCAGCTTGCGGTCTGAGATGCAGCGGAAGTTCTTGCTGCAGCCTCCGTTGTCTCTGCTGCAGTCACGCACCGGCCCGAAGGAATCCAGGAGGACCTCCAGGCTGTCGAAGGACGATGAGGTCATCAGCTCTTCTCTGTGGGGAGACCGGGGGGTGGGAGGGGTCAAGGTGACTCTGGGTGCAACGAGTGGCATCGCATTCCTCGTTCCTATCTGGCCAACCAGGACACGTCTCGCTCCCTCTTACAAAAATTCAAGATCATCCCAACTCTGAGTCTTGAACAGACAAATCATAGACACGCTCCACATCTGGGAACTGAGCCCAGGCTGTAACGCCTGGTCTAAGAAGGAGCTCTAAACTCGGGCTAGGAAATCAACATTTCGTTGCCTGTCCATCCTTAGGCGATGTGGGAAGTGCTTACGAATTCTAGTGGCTTGTCCTCTCCCAGTGCCATGTTGACCCGGATAGAGTAGGTCCTGGCACCGGAAGGCAGCCTGCCAACTTCTCCCTTTGGCTTGTCAGGGTTCCTTTTCCAGCACCTTCTCACTTAGCCTCTCGAGACAAGTATGCACCTGAGCCCCCCGAGGCGGGACTCACCTGACCTCCACGGCATCCTCCATCACTGTCATGTCTGTCTTACACTTCGCTGATGGGTTGATGGCCAGTTCAGCTGGTGGGATCACGAAGCTCTTGCTGAGGGGCAGCCACATGCCCTCCCCTAGGGTGTAGGTGAATCTGCAGGGACACCCAACCCCAGGTGGTTAGGGCGGGGTGGGGAGGGATGAGCACCCCACCGGAGGACCCGGCACCCACTGCCAGCCGCTGCCTTCTCTTCCCTCCAGAGTCCCATGCAGAAAGAACAGCTGGTTGCCCCTTTACAGATGAGATGACTGAGTGAGGGAGGCAGAGAGGCCCAGCCCTGCTCACTCAGCCACTCACCAGCTCGTAGAAGTGGTTTTTATCGAGCCATACAAAATCGAATTCCAGTTTCCTTCAGATTGGAGGCTGGGCTTTCCCTAACCCAAGTCAGGTGTAATGGGCAGCATTTTAATTGGCGAGATGTGCCAGCCACCCACCATGCCACGTCTCGGTTTGCACACCCCCAGTGGTAACGATGCTTTCTCTCTGTGCCTGGACCTCCCTGAGGAAGGGAAGGAGAAAATCTCCCCTCTTCTGGCTTCTGTGTGATGGGAACAGACATGTTGGAAGCCAGAAGCCTCCGAGGAGGAGACGAGGGGGAAGAACAAGACAGACGCAGACTCATTCTCTGCGCTCCTCCCCACCACCCCTGGCTGACGGCTTTAACCCTGGGGAGACAGAGGATATTTTTTTCTTAATTTTTGTAATGAGAGCTAAAAGGAATAAGACAATCAATCAGCATTTCAAGGGTCAGGGTAAAAAAAAAACCGTGAGAGATTGTTTATTCATTCACTTTATTTCAAAGGCATTCGAATGCTCTGTGTTCACAGTCAGAAATAGTCTATGGGATGAAAGCCAGTGTGGGCGGGATATCACAAGGCTGTGGCAGTCTGGTGTCCCCTTCCAACTTCAGGCAAAGGGAGGAACAATGGAAGGACGCACGCAATTAAGCAGCACCCAGCACAGGCGCCATTAGCATGCCGGTCACAGAGGACCAGCTCTTTTCTCTCCCCTGACCCACACGCTCCCCTCGCCACTCCCCAGGCTGCCTGAGATGTCAGGTGACATGCGATCTTTTATGAGAAATGCAGCCCTCTCGAGAATGCTGGCCGCAGAGGATACGCTGACCAAAGCTCATGGGTGACAGGCAGCCACGCGATTGCGTCCGCTCACTGGATGACAGCCCCAGTCACGAGAGCGGCTGAAAGGAGGGGAAACAGGTGCCTGGGGAAGGGCGAAACCAATGAGGAAGGGGGAGGTTCCAAGATTGGGGGGGCTCTGTCCCCACGGCTGCCCTTACTCTTCATTCTCTACTTCTCTGACCTGCTGGGAAAAGACCTCCGCATCAAGCAGCTTCGAAGAAGGCGCTACCCCCAGGGGAGCGGGGCTAGGTCTGGGCGGGGAGGGGTCTGCACCAGGTGAGGAAAGCCATTGCGACGGGGACAGAAGAGGAGGCCTACCACTTCCCTCTCCTGTGAAGCAGCTGGCAAAACGGAACGCAAGACAACCCCTTCACACACACACACACATGTCGACATTCGGGGCAAGGTGCCTGAAATGTGGTACTAAGGATAAATGTGGGTCGGAGGCAACGGCAGGCAAGTTTTTACACTCACTTTGCCTTCGTGAGGGACGCTTAAGACAGCAGCACTGTAATAAGCAGGCTGGGGCAGGGGCACCAGGAACATTGTACATCACACATCGTTTCCGAGAGCACGTGCACGAGTTTGAGGGGTACCAGGAGGAGGGAGTTTATTCGGACCGAGAGAATTCTTGT